GGACTGGGACCCATCGCAGCTCATCAGTGTCTTGCTTCGCAAGCAACAAAGGTGACGAGTGTCTTATGGATGTGGCGCCCATCGGGTGAAGCCGGTTGACCCGGATCTGGAGTTGGAATGAATTGGCGTTTTCTTGTTCACCAGGTTCCGTTGTAGAAGTTTGACCCGATGTATGATTATAGTATAGGGATGTATAGGGTGTTTCATGTGCAATAGTAATAAGGGTTGGTCAGCAATGGCTAGAAGATATATTCAATTGAACCGCCTGTTGGGAGCTTGGTGTGCTTCAAACGAGATTGAAGGAGTGGTTCCTTGCAGCCCTACAGAGACAGATATCCACAACAGTGAACTTGATAGTCAGTGGTTAAACTGCATACTTGAACCGTTGAGCTGAGCTGCCTAATGTTAGGTGCTCTACATATATTCCACAAATGAGCCAAGGATGTCTTCAGAGCATGGGCTCAGGTGTTCACAACTTCTTCGACCTGCTCTGGCCAGCTACACCTCAGGCAGGATTTGTTTTACTTCCAGAGTGGCGAGCAGGTCCCTTTTGGGGGGTTCCTCAACATCGGTATCCACATGTTTTTGTCATTTTTTGGTTATTTATTGTTCAATCTTTTGTCATTACACTTGGTATATTGGCGCAGCATGACTCATGGAAACGTGTTTTCCAAGCTTGATGAGCACAATGAATGAATGAATGATCAATTGAGCACAAAAGTGTGGTCAAAAGACAAATAGATGCAAATGGGTTGTTTCCGAGGCGGCGCCTTCGCTGTGTCAGGCAAGACTCAATCGTGCTTGCTGCGTGTGCTTGTTCTGTCCCTTCATTCGTGGGTATTGATGGGAGTAGCGTAATATGGCAACTTCAGTACAGAGACACCTACAGACCGTCAGTTGCGATAGATGTGGTGAATGGATGAGTGATCATACATACAGGATCTTTGATTGTGTTTGTCAGAATTTGTGAAGAGTTGCATGTCGATCCTCACTGCTGGAAGTTTCCGGGAGGTCCCAGAATATGGAGAAGTACTTCACTCACCCAGTGGGACGACTTTCTTTGTGCCGGCCACCGTGGCCAAACAAAAGGTGGCATTAGATGCACAGGTGGTCACGGATTGTACCGGCAATGTTGAGTTGTTGAAGAGGAAGCTGGAACCAGGTGAAAGAGTATTTGCTCCGATCTGGCAATTGCTGCCTCATGAGACTCCCTTTGTTGAGCCCATTTGGCTGGTGATTCCCGCCTGCGTCGGTGCCAAGCGAGTCTGGCAATCCACGGCCGAAGGCTGGAGTGAAGTGCCGGCATGTTTCCGCGATGGATACGCGGAGGTTCAGCTGCCACACTTCTGCCAGCTGGCAGTCACTGGAGTTGCTGGGATGATCCGGGCAACTGGTTTTGTCAGTGGAGGATCCAAGGCGAAGGTGTGCTTTTCCCACATCGGTTGCAGCTTTTGTGAGGCCGCTCTCACCCCTTACTTCAACGACTCCTTCTACTTGTCTGGATATGTGCCATGCTCTGGCGTGGCGCATTTGGGCACTCGCCCTGAGCATCATGAAGTTGAACTACTGCAAGATGGCATCAGTCAGACCGTCAGCTTAGAGTCCCAGGCCTTTCCCATCCTCTCAGAGGAGCTCGTGGCCGAATCCACCCGTTTCTCTGTTCAAATTGAAAGGAAACGATTCACCTTCCATCATTCACCCCAAGACATCACCGGCCACAGCGGAGCTGGGCAAGCTGCATCAGCGTCTCACGGTGTCGCAGCAGTCTCTTCAGGCCCGGCTGCTCCCACAGTGGCGCCACCAGTTCTGAGCGCAGCACCCGCAGCGCCAGCCACAGGCACAGACAGCCCATCTCCGCCATCAGTAGCACCGCCAATCTTCCCGACAGCTGCAGCACTCATGATGGATGAGCGCTCCAGAACGCTTGGTGAATCCCGAGATGTTCGAGCCCCAGTCCATTTGTCCAAGATGCAAGTAAGCCGGTGAGTAATTAATCATAGGATATTATAGGTCTTAAATCTCTACTCACCTTTGCTCTACTTAGTGTTGTGATATGTTGTTATGTATATGGAATGCAGGTATGCAGGTATTTTACTTTGCGCACGGCAGGGTAGAAGTGAAGTCGCTGAGTCGATGATTTCGATGCTACTGAGTCGGTTCCCGTGAACAGCTCCAGTGGACCTGTGAGCCACGGGCCCAGCTTGGAATGCTTCCTGAGAGTCCTTATTTGATCTATTAGACATTGTTTGAATTGTGTTGCATTTGGATTCAGAATGAGCCTGATTTAAACCAACATGTTTCTTTGGCCAAATTGTTGACTTTGAGGTGTTTCTAGCTTGCTTTCAAAGTTCAACAGACTTAGATTGCAAGATATAGCAAGGTCACCTTTCAGTTCTCAAAGATTGCCGTGCACGACCGTTGAACCAGGTCAAGCTGCTCGGGCACTTGCTCAAGCTGCTCGGCCCTGGCACCACCAGAATGGGCGACCAGTGGAAGTGTAAATTATGTTTGTTTCGATGTGTTTGTTTTTGTTTCTAAAGATAGGATTTGTGAACTCTCGCCTAACTTGCCCCAAAGGACCCTTGGCGATGTTCAAAGTTGTTCATGGGCGTCATGGTGTGTTTTTCTCATGGAAGACTCTCTTGGAGTATGTTGCTGGCACTTCAGCGTACTTGGTCACTTCAAATGTTCGGAGCTCGACCATGACAGGAGCCGCTGAACCCACTGAAGCAACCCCAGGACCCTGCAGGGCCTCCACACCACGCGGTTCCGCCTTCCAACCGTCCAACAACTCGCCGCCACCACAAACGAACGACCTCCAGCGGACCTCGGCAGCCGTGAGACGGCTGGAGCCGAGGCTTGGCGATACTTCTTCTCCCGAGAGATGCGCTTCTTGGGCCTAAATAGAGAGAAGCGTGGAGAGAGGTCCTGCCATGCCGGAAATGGAGATATATTGTTTGAGGGAGTCGGAAAGTAACAAAAGATTGTCATTACGATTCAGAAGTTTACAACGACTTCTGGAGCCAAACTGATATTCGAACCTTTAGTCCGACACACGTTCAAGGCGCTGACTCCACTGGCCAGAGCTCTGTTCCTCCACAAGCAGAGGCGGAAGACGGTAGACACATGCGGAAACGGGAGATTGGCATGAAAGGAGTTCAATGTGGTTCAAGATGAACATACTCTTCTTCTAGAACCTCTTGTGGAAGCAAAGTCTGAGATATATACTGTACCATATGCTCAGTCCCATGTTTTGACACGCTCCCATGTCAAACAGAGCCACGTTGGAAAGTTCCGCAGAGTTTTGCGTGTTCATCTTGGAACTAGGCACCAAGCACGCGTTCCAGGGCAGTTCCAGCCGTGGGGATCCAAGTTTCAAGAGGTCGTGGCAGCGCCGTGTCGTTTTAGCCATGAAGTCGAGGTGCCGCAAGTGAGACCGGGGCATGGAGCGCGCGTAGGTATGTTTTCGGCTCGTTTCGATGGCGGCGAAATTGAACAGCGGTTTCGCCGCATCCATGAGATCTTAGCCCAAAGTGGCTATGACATCATGATGGTGGGCGTTCACCCAGGGGAAACCTTTGGTGTTCCCACCACTCGGTACTTGGGCCGTTTGTATCGTGAACGGGGCGTTATGCTGTGTGTTTGTACCGAACATTACGGCGAGATGACGTCCTCGCACTTCTCCAGCTTTGAAGAGCTGATCTTCGCGAAGACCTACGAAGCTTTTATCAAGATTGTTCCATTGCGGATGGGAGCGGTTTATCCTCCCATGCCTCCAGGTAGAGGAGCCAATGGGCCGAATCGGCCCGATCATTTAGATGAGCATTTGGATGGTCAGAGCTTTGCCACATCGGTCTTCAACCCCGCTCGGCTCTATCTCGATTGTCGAGAGAAGTCGGATGTGGAGATTGCTGCGGCCATCGCGGAGTGCTTGCACCACTGAGCTCTACCGGATTTTTCTGTGTGACCTGTTAGATGATGTTAGATGATTAGATGAAGTGTAAGCAGTCACCCTGGAGACCCTACGAAGAAAGGGGGCATTTCTCAGCAAGCTTCATTGGAGGACTTTAATATCGGTTACATTTGGTTACCATAAAGAGTTAGAGCTGTACCTTAGAGCGCAGATGGGAAATACTTTCACAAGTGATCACATGCAACCACAACATTTGCAAGACATGTTGCTACCTTCTATTCGATCATGTCAACTTCCAGCCATATTTGCATGAGAGCCAGGGACTGGCCGCGCCGAGCGTTTTGCAAGAAAGTGTTGCAGGAGACAGGAGATGGCATGTAGGAACACTGGGTCAAAGTGTTCAATGAATGTTCAGGGATGGCGATGCATGTTGTGACCTTTGTCTCTATCCGGTGGATTTCAGTGCGTAGTGACGTTTGCAAGTGCAGTGGGTAGATGTTGCTGGACACCAGGCAGAAAGTAAGGTATGGGATTTATTGGTGCCCATATAGCTGCTTGTCACAATGAGTCTACTTATTTGCCGAAATGTTCTCAGGAATTGTGTCCCTTCAGCAGGGCTGGTTTGCCATCGGTGAACTGAACATGTCTTAGGCGTTTGTCTACTAATCACACTACAGCGACATCGTCAAGGACTTTGCGCAGCCAGATCCAGTTGACATACCGAAGAAGCCGGCCTTGCAGAGTCACGGTTTGACAAAGTCACGCTGAAGCGAATGTTGCTGTCCAAGAGCCAATCTCTCCTTTTCATGTAGTCTTTCATGCGCACTATTGAGAAGAATGATTACAATCTAGAGCTGTTATACATGCAACCTGTCCCACCAGAAGTTGATATCGAAATCATTTGGCGGTCTTGGAGTTTGCTTTGCTTTCGCTATTTGTTTCACCGCTGACCAACTCAATGACGAAGTGAACAAAATCCTTGTCGCGCTTGCGAGAGCTATGAGCCGCCCTTGGATCATTTGTTTGGTGAATATGCTTTGCAATCTGAAGTTCTAACCTATTCAAACCTGCCAAAGCTTACGGAAACATGTTTACCTCTCCACCCGAATCGACCTCTCCAACCGAAAAATCCTGGGCCAGCGCCGCAGATCGGACGCCTCTCTCGGTGCCACCCGCGGCGACGCTCTCGGCTCGGGCCGAATGGCGGATACGCTCCTCATGGCGCCCAACGGGCTCGACGCGGGCGGTGTTGGAAAGGCGATTTCCGGAGCCAGCGGACCACGGTGATTCTGCCGCGAGCGGTGCTCAGTTGCAGTGGAGGGAAGTGATTGGGGCGGTATCAAGTGAGGGCCAGCTTGCTTTGCATCGAGGTGGGTTTTTGGTAGTTTGGTGTGGTTTTGTACGTCATATAATAGGAAGCGATTCTGTGGCACTTTGGAGATGAGGGAGGGAGATCCAGGCACGAGTTGCTGGGCCGAATCACCAACGATTTCGGATGATTTCGGGTCATGTAAACCATGGAACTGTGGGACCAAGAAGGGCGGGTGGGAAGATCGATCCACCATGCCAGTGCGAAAAAGGTCTGGGGGTCGAAGGATTCAGAGAACTCTGACAACTTCAAAACTGTGTGCTCTGCTGCTAATTGCCCGAGCCAAAAAGTGTGCCTGCAGTCATCATTTGCGGTTTAATGGGGTCCAAGAGTGAGAGGTTGATGTTCGGAGCGGTCTGTGAGGACCCCCACGACCGATATGCCCAGCATATCCAAAGTGAACAGCTTGTAAAGGTGATGAGAAAAGGCATCTTCACCTCCAGTTAACGATTGTAACACTCAAAATGTATCGGAATTGGGTTGAAATCCAACGGTTTTTGTATTCCGATCCGATCGAGTCCACAGAGTGCGGGTCCGAGCTGCAACAAGTCCGAGCTCGGCCGTGCTGAGGATGGGACATCCGGAGAGTAGACTGTGGATGATACCTTTTTTTCCCAAATCCTGGCCTAAAAGACCATCCGGTGCCTCAAGAGCAGCTCAAGCTGCCGGAACTGAGGGCCGAGCCGGCCCGCCAAAAGCATAGGGATGTCTCCCATGCTTGAGTGCCAGCTGGCACCATCGTTTATCTAAAATCTGAAGACGACACTCTTCAGTTTCGTCGTGCGGAGAAAGGGATCCAGATAAATACGCATCCCTACATTGCCGGGAGCCATGCCGCAAGTGCTGAACAACGCGGCCACGAAAATGAAAATCATAAATCAAATGATGGAATTCACTACAGTGACTTCATCACTGGAACAGTTAACCTGCAAGCTTTGGCCACTCAACGCCACACTTCGCTGTGCTTTCGCTGTTCTCCACCAAGAAGACCACTCGTTGAATCCCATCTCAAGATGTCCTAAGACTGGTAACTGGTAGGTCGTGAAGGTCATGAATCCTATAGCCCTGGTGAAGCAGACTGAGCTCCGCCAATTGACTCCAATGGCGGGGGAGGGCCATGGATTTCCATGCTGAAATGAGCAGTTTCGCACACAAGTTCCGTGCGAGTGTGTTCTACGCTTCAACTGACATGCAAGGAGGCACGGAGTGACCTGGATTTGCTGGATTGTTGGGAATTATTTGTGAAACTTATCACAGCACCAAGACAATCTCCCTTTGTTCAACACCATGTTGGGCAAATATATTGAATCTCCCATATGCAGTTGCACAGTTTAGTTTAGAGTTCAGAGTATCTTTATTGAACACATACCATATTTGTTTCGCTTCGGGCTGACAAAGTGATTCTGGTCGAGCCCAAGTTTTGTGGGGCGTTTTCTTTCCAAGAGGTGAACTCCATCGAGGAGTAGAAAAGCAGTCTATAGACATGATCGATCCACTAAAACCGGTTGTTGGGATCCATGTTTTTGCCAATTTTTGTTGAGGTTTTTGCATCGGAATGTCCATTTGGATCCATCATTGAGGATGAATCCTCTTTTTCTTGGAAGATCAGCAGCCTCGAGAAGGTTAGCAGGTTCATGGAACCGAGTGGCCGGGTGATTGTGTTTCCACATCTTCACGCATATAGAGCTGGACATCACCTGGTGCCATTGAGGTCTAGATTCGTGCAAGGGTGGGGACTGAATTCTTGATGACCTTGCCGGAATCATGCTGATCTGATTGGTTATGATTGATTGTTTCAAAGAATTCCTGGAGCAGCACATCAGCACATCCAGATGTTCCGTTGCTCTTCAAGGCGTCAAACAGACAGAGTCGCCCGAGCGTGGAAAAGGCGACGGCCATGCTCAATTGTCCTCGTTGCCGTTTGAGTTCATTGGAGTCAGATTTGGTTCCTCTCAGATTTGGTACCTCCAAAATTTGGATTTCTTGGAACGCCCACAGGGCCCACAAGGCACTTGATGTCCAGCTGATGTCGGCGCAGCCTGTGCCTCAAGAGACCCGCCGCGCCCGCGTCGGTTTTGGACCTCCCTCCAAGCGTCAGCGACATGGCTCATCCTGTGACAGAGGCAGTTGACTGCAATCACCG